TTTGTTGCTAGCAAGACCAAGGCTGCACTTGATGGTGGTCTGGGTGTTATCCTATGCTGCGGCGAGAGCCTCGAGGTATGCTGCTGCAGTTTTTTGATAGCATCACGATACATAGCTAACAATTTGGCAGCAACGTGAAGCTGGCAAGACCATTGAAGTCGTCACAGCTCAGTTGAAGGCTGTCGCAGACATTGTCAAGGACTGGTCGAAGATTGTGATTGCTTACGAGCCAATCTGGTAAGTTTGGATATGTCTGGACGTATTCTTGCATCAATTACACTCGCGGATTAAGAGAATTGTTCTAAGAATGGAACTAGGGCTATCGGTACCGGCAAAGTTGCGACCACCGCACAAGCGCAGGAGGTACATGCCGCAATTCGTGAATGGCTTAAGAAGGAGGTGTCTCCAGAAGCTGCAGAAGCCACGCGTATTCTCTACGGTGGTAGCGTCAACGAGAAGAACTGCACCGAGCTTGGCAAGCAACCGGATATTGACGGATTCTTGGTTGGCGGTGCCAGTTTGAAGCCTGCCTGTAAGCGTTTGAATATCTTCATGTTGAAGACTATCATACTAAATCTTAGCCATAGTTGTTGACATTATCAACGCTAACTCAACATGAATGCATGGCAGAGCCGCAGGAACTCCAGAAGGAAAGCTAACGAAATTATGATGGGGAATGTTTGAATACTACAACATCAAAGGGGGATGGAACTTAAATCTGGCCTTTAGATATCACCGCTTCATAACTTCAAATAAAAAGGAAAATGCCTGCAAACATACTCTCCATGCATTGTGTACAAATATCTCACATTTACTGTACAAGTCCATGTCCGGATAACCACTGCGCCTCCCATGCGCAAAACTAATATGCTACCTTCTATTTGCTCTGCCCTTCTACAGTGTCATCATATCTGGTACCGCGCCCCATGGTGAGGACTCCAAATACCCCTCACGCTCTCATTCATACTCTGCACCGGCTTGTTCACCCTTTTCAGCTTCTCCCCACTCGCATCACGCAGCAGTGTCGCCTTCTCCAGCACCAGCTCACTCGTCATGTTTCGCACGCATATCGCCTTCTCTCGCCCATTGATATAATGTCCTTTGATTACAGGGTGCTTCCGCGGTCGAGGAGATATTGTGATTTCGATCTGAGGGTTCTGTTTGGCGAACTTGGGAAGGAACGTTTTGATGAATGCGCTATCAATTATTAGCTAAGTCAATTTAGAAAGACAACATGGAGACACACTTCATGCCCTTGGAGCTACCGGCCCAATCGCAGTAGTGGAAGTCGAGTCGTTTGCATTGGAGGATGAAGGCGCCAACGCCGTTCTGTAAGGAGTGTATTAGCTTTGAGGCTGCGATCGGCTTGGACTGGATGCATTCGAGACGAACCTGGCCTTTGGCGATAGCCTTTACGGCGGAAAGAGGCATGTTGAAGCACTGGTGGCTGCAAGAGCCTCTGGTCAGATGCTCGAGTCTGAACGTGAGGACTTGGTGATCCCTGTTTTTTAGTCAAAGTATACGCCAAGCATTCTGAACACGGTAATACCAAGAACGCAACCCTCCCGAACACTCCTGGACATCAACTCTCCGATAGACATCAACGCAGGGTTTTCTCCGGTTTCAATGCTGTTTACTATATATCGGTATGGATTCCCTCTATCCACGTTTGCCGACAGAGCCTATTCAGACGCTGCTGTGGACTCTTCTACCATGCCTAATTTGTTGCCGTTGCGAGTGTTTCTTCACTCTCCTTTGGATTAAAAATACAGCATTCGACAAGGCTCTAACAGAACCAAAAGCATTCATTCCGAAAAGCCAGAACACCTTCACTGGGCAATATTTGAACAAGATTTCAGCTCAGACCCAGCCAATTCCAAAGACGGATCGGAAATCTAGGCGTGAGACGCCACCCTGCAGGACAGCTCAGCCCCACTCACCATGAACCTATATTTCAGCCTTGCTTCTCTCCAATTCTTCTCCGTGATCACTTTCACTTGCTCAGTTTCTGCCATATATTTGTTGACGGCTTGGAAAATAAGCAATTACATTACCGAAGGCAATGGTGCTTGACCCATTTACGGCGCTCGGCCTTGCCGGTAACGTCTTGCAGATAATCGACTTCGGTAGTAAACTATTCTCGGAAGGTTCCGAGCTCTACAAATCATCTATAGGAGCTTCATCATCGAATGTTCAACTGGAGAAGGACACAAAGACACTTAGGCAACTCAGTGACAAAATTAGCTCTGCTCTGGGATCTACAAGTATCCCCATCCAGGAACTTTCAGACGATGAGATTGCTCTGAGGGGAACCGCCACATCTTGTCAACGGACTGCTGATGAGCTGCTAAGTATTCTTCTTGACTTGAGAGTGAAAGGCCCCAATAGGAAACGGCAGAGTCTTCTTCAAGCTTTCAGAGGTGTGCGGAAGAAGGAACAGATCGAACAGCTATGCGACCGGCTTTCGGAATATCGTGGGCAATTAACTTTACATCTAGTCCACATCCTAAAGTGAGCACTCAATTTCCTTCCTTAAATTGGAATCCTCATAAATGTGCACAGCCCCGTGGAAACTACGTATGCTCCACTTCCAGGTCAAATTACTTCCCTGTTGCCTTTTGCGGAAATTCATTTTAACACTTTCTTTCTTTGGCAGACGATGGGTTTTAGTCTCCGCCATGCTTCTGGTCGCTGATTACTGATCTAGTCTCTCACAGTGAATACCAAGGCGCAATTGGCGCCAAAGTGGACTTCCTAATAGATGAGAACCAGCGTATGCAAGTCTGCAGAACCACCCAATTGGAATATATTAGCAAGGATCTCAAGCAGCTGCACCGCAACACTGAGGACCTCAAAGCTATATTCGAAAAGCGAACATTGGATCTGGTCTCTCGGGGGCTTTCTGCAGTGTTGCAAACCTCTGAGAATTTAGCTGCCGAACAAAGGATTCTGCGTAGCCTACGATTTGATTCCATGGGTGCCCGGCATTCAACAATTGCTGAAGCTCACAGAAAAACTTTCAATTGGGTTTTCTGCCAGCACGAGGCTTCCTCGGAAGATCCAGAGCCGCAGCTCAAATTTAAAGACTGGCTCGAAAACGGGAGCGGCTTTTATTGGATATCGGGAAAAGCTGGTTCTGGCAAATCGACTTTGATGAAGTATCTTTACGACGACCCGCGTACTAGAAATGCGCTGTGGTTATGGGCTGGTGAACAAAACCTTGTTCTTGCAAGTTTCTTCTTTTGGAGCTCTGGAACGGAGATGCAACGGTCTCAAAAGGGTCTGCTACAATCTCTTTTATTCGAAATACTGCGGTCGTGTCCCGCTTTTATTCGCACCATTTGCTCGTCCCGTTGGCCAAAGGCTCAATCCGCAGCGGGGGACTTTGTCCCAGAACCGTGGACATTGTCAGAGCTCTCCCAAATGTTTCAGAAGGTGATGAACGAGAAAACGCCGAAATTCTGCTTCTTCATTGATGGGCTAGACGAATACGAAGGCGATCACTCTGAAATGATTCAAGTTCTGAAGGGCTTCTTGGCCTGGCCTGATATTAAGATATGTCTCTCGAGTCGGCCTTGGAATATATTCGAAGATGCGTTTGGTCAAAACATCGATAGAAAGCTCTATCTTCAAGACCTAACTCGAGAAGATATAAAGCTTTATGCCCAGAGCAAGTTTGAAGAAAGCGACATTTTCCAAAGACTCAAGAAGAAGGATCCGCGGTACCAGGATTTAGTTTTTGAGATAACTGATAAGGCGCAAGGTGTATTTTTGTGGGTATTTCTCGTTGTTCGCTCCCTGCTTGAAGGCCTAGTGAACGCGGACAGGATACCTGATCTCCAAAGAAGGCTTCGCCAGATTCCCGGGGACCTAGAGCGCTTCTTTCAATACATGCTGGATTCAGTCGACGAAATATACCAGGAGCAGACGGTGCAGATTTTCCAAGTATCGGTCCTGGTCCGCGAGCCACTCCCCCTGCTGACATTCTGGTTCCTTGACGAGGAAGATCCGGATTTTGCGCTTACAATGAAAACCAGGCCTCTCGACGAAGAAGAAATACTTCTACGGTTCGAAGAGGCACGAAGACGCCTCGACGGACGCTGCAAAGGTCTGCTTGAGATCACAAAGGATGCGTCGGTCTTTCATTTTAGGGTTGACTTCCTGCACAGAACCGTCAAAGATTGGTTCAAGACCGCAGAAATGCAAGATTTGATAGCCAAGCGCCTCGATGGAGAATTCAATCCTCATGTCTTGGTCTCCAAGGCCTTTCTCGCTCATGTCAAGTGTTTGCCGTCTCCGGTACCAAAAAGGACACTATTGCAGATGGTAAACGATATCATGTATCACGCAAAGCAAGCAGAAGAATCATCTGGCGTACGGAATGCGGAGCTTTTAAAGGAACTATATCGAGTAGCTCAGGCCTTGCTCCCGGGGAGGCCGAAAGGAGATTCTCACCAAGATAATCGGACAGTTCTAGACCGCCAGAACCATGACTCACTTGACCAGTTGAGGGAGCTCATAGGAAAAAATGAAAAAGTGGTCGCTGCTCAGTCTGGGTTCTGGAGATGGCTTTCCTGGAGTTGAATGCAGTAAAGGGCTGCTGTTGTTGACTACTTGTGCCCCGAGCATCTTAGAGTCTTCTACCATCAGGCTCCCGCTGGCAAATTTGGAATGGGCCCCGATCGTCAAAATCGCCTCCGTGGTTGGAGTTTTGTTATAAGATCGGGCCTCTCGTAATTAATTGAGCGTGGTGCTGTTCGGGCGGCCAATGAGGTTAACGATCTTCGATATGTAGCTTGCCATGCCTGTTCTCTAATTACTGCTCTGTAAAGAAATTACATAATATCACAGCTAACAAAGAACTTTTTACATATTCTAGATCGTTACAAGAATTGATTTGCGCGTACAACTATGGCCTAATATACTACACGGTTGTTGTGCTAGAAATGGGGGATTATGATTAAAGAAAGAGAAGAAACACAAAAAAAAATTATTGTTTTAGGTCGTGCCCGGGATCGAACCGGGGTTACCAGAATTTTTCTGGAGATTAATCAAAATCTGGAGTGATAACCACTACACTACACAACCTGTGTATATCATTTCGGTCCAGAAATAATGTCATATATATCAAACAATTACAAATTTCATTTCTTCACTATTATAATACAGGCTATGCAGCGATTCAATGGAGTTACGAGCCTGAAGGGAGTCTACAAGCGGGTACGAGAGATGGATATGCCAAAGCCGATTAAAATGCTGCGCTAAGCCCGAAATCATAAATCTCGAGGTCTGCATGAACTTGCGTTTGTCCGCAACAGAAAGAATAAATTAAAAAATAAAATGCAAAAAAGCGCACACAACGAAGCTTGTGCAACTCCGATTGTACCTCGGCCCCCGTTGCTGTTTCTCGCATGTGTTCGAGTTCTTGGGTTGCGCGTGCAGCCTATTCGATTGAGTTATATGAGACCCAAGGTCCACCAGGGCAGGCAGTTCACACGCTGGCAGCGACGGTGTACTGTCAATGATTTAATTTACCCAGACGAAAGTAATGTCATCCGCGGCAATTGCGCTTGTCAAGAGAAATAGCAGCGGTTTGCATAACATTCATCTTACCCACGAAGCCTTCCAGCAATCGGAGGAAGTAGAGACAGAAGCTCGCCAAGTACGGCATCTTTAAAATTAAATTCAGTGTTGAGACAGATGTCGCTCAGTCATGGCAGTTCCCAGTCTACTACCAAAAGAGATCATGGTATGCGATAACCTTCCAACGTCATGTATCGTGGGTCCATGACGGTGGAGGAAAAGAAAGGTCATTTTAAAGTTTTCCAGCACATAACTTGTCCCGGACGGTAAGACATGCTGGGATTTTCGGTTGCCTCGAGATGTCTAATTGCTTATGAAAGGAATCCCCGTGGGCTTAAAGGGGCGTTCCTCAAACCCTGAAAACTAAGTGAGTAAACTCAAACTGACCAAGATCCAATCAGGCGTGAGGAAATCCATTCGTAAAACCCGAGAATCGCCTGTATCCGGTATGATTCAGACACGGCAATCAACCGTTAAAGATTCTCCCGATCTCAGCATCGCAGGTGGTCGTCACTCATGAATCACAGGCACGGTCCAGCTGTGCGCTTCTCAAGCGAGAATGAAGAAAGCGGATTGGTGGCGCCCCTGAATCGACTCTAGTGATGATGGCATGACACTCAACATTTCCATTGGGGGATATCAAGCCTCATATAAAAAGTTTGCCGCTTTCCGTGTCTTTCTCTTTTCCATTATTCTCTCCCTCCACTTTGTCGCAACAATCATCTCTCAAATTCCGCCACCTCCAAACAACCCTTCTCTGAGCCAAAGTCCGACGCCGCGATCGAACCTCTATTTACTCTCCTCAAACTGGTCTGCTAGAACCCCAAAGCAAATAACTTTTTCGTCCAGATTTGACCTCCGCACTCCCACTACCCTCTCGATTTCAAATCCAGCCCACATAACTTCGCGGAAGCGGAAAACGCTTCAATTTTCATCGTAAGTTTACTCAGATAGGGTCACCTGCGGAAAACCACTCGTCTTCGAAATGATAGTGCGAATTATTACTTTTCCTGCTATCATCAAATTGCTGCCCAATCATGGAGCATCGCACTTTTTTTGACTTTGCGTCAGAAAGATGTCACGGACGCTCTGACAAGCAACACCCAAAATCCGTCCGCGGTTCGAAGATTGCGCTTCCAGAGCCTCGATCTTTCTGCCAAAGGGCCAGCCTCCCTGATTTGTTGAGCTCGTTTATGGCTTTTAATAATATGCCTTTCACAACTTTGTGCGGGATCTTCCAAACACGGCACCGGAACGCAACGCGGCATCACCTCTCGACTCCGAGTTGTCTTGAACCAAACCATCCTGGATTTTCACAAGACCTTCGTGTCAGAAGCATGAGGACGAACAACTCATGGTGGTCTGAATGACATAAATGCGCATTTGTTCCGTTCTCCATTCCTTACCTCAATACCACCCTCTCCTCCTGTTGTTTCCATCCCATCTTTCATCAAACTTCAGAATCGTCATCCTTCCTCCGCCACTTGAGGTCCGCGACTACAGCGCTTCCAAGGCCACATGCTTCAGCCGGAGGTTACGGCTTTTGGACCCTTGGCCTAATAAAAATCGTGCAAGGGACTCAGCCAAAGCGGCCGCTCCGGCGAGACTGGCCAGATTTATGGAACACTCACCTTTCCACCTTCAACTTACAGCACGCTGGCAAAGCGATAAGTCCTCAGGTCTGCCTCGGAAAACTCCCTGCGATGGAGGGAATTATCGAGTCTGCTCGCAGATCGGGCCTCCACCAAAGCAAATTCGTTAACGCTACATACAATACATCATGGAAGAGCAATTCATTAATCTTTTCTTCATTCAGAGTTGAGGCCTGAGGTGCCTACTGATTACAAGAAGAAAAAAAGGGTACATGTTAAATGGTGATAGCTGAAAGGGAAGTGGGTATAAACAATAAACGGCTGTTAAGCTTCGAAAGCGCACCTGGGCAGAATGCCCAGAAGAAAAAGACAATCTCCGATAAAAACCCCCGCCGACAAACCTGTCTCCCCTTGATAAGTCCCTCCTTCCTAGGCCCGACGAGTCTATAATTCATAAGGCACACCTTGGGCTGTCATTAGCATCAAGCTAGCCCATGATACTAGGAAGTGTCGCCGGGGGGTTTTTTTTTCATTGTGGCCGGCAAAAAATAAAGTCATAAACATGACGGCTAAAAAAAATGCACCCCACGCTCGCTCAACTGCACATCAACAAAGACAACTTTTATCTATCCTTGACGCCGAGGCAAAACAATGCTGCCAGTCAAACAATCGAATGCCGATATTCGTGACGCAAAGGCGAATGAAGTAAAAGGCAATTTGATAAGGAGCCACTATCCTTGGTGGTGAGATTGAGATTCAAGAACTTCACCGTCATCAGATTCTCGAAGAGCATCTTGTCGGAGGGCATCTTGTCGGAGAGCATCTTCGCGAAGAGCCTCTTGGAGGCCTTGTCGCAGTGAGTCCTCCAAACTATCTGACTGAGAGTCATTCGGTTGAGGCATTGACGGTGGAACCACTGGTGTGTGGCCCGTGCCGAAACTTTGTACTGGATTAAGATCGCCGAAAAATGTTGGAATTGACGACTGAACCTGTTGCCCGAACGACTGTGAACGTGCATTTCTATCAGCCCCAGGATATGATACGTTAAAATTGTACTGCGGCGGCGGCGGGCCCATGCTAGCCTGTGGTGGTGCAGCACCAAATACTGGACCCCGCGGGGCTTGTTGGCTGGTTGAGACATTGGCGTTCACTGAATTGACACGAGAGTGTGCAGGAGATTCCAAACTCAAATTACCCAAACCGCTGTCAACAGAAGGCCGTGGAATATGGGTGTTTTGCTGATATCCACCCTGGGGGAAGCGATACGGCAACTGGTTGTATTGCGGGCCTGGCGGATATTCCGGGCTCGGAGTATCCGCCGAAGTGTTCCTGGAGTGTCCGGGAGTATTTGGGCTACCAAAATTGCTGCTCGCTTGAAGTCCGTTGCTGGGATGGCCAAGAGGACTCTGTTCTGCATTGTAGCTGCCGAAATTAGTGCCTGCTGAAGGCCTGTTATCCTGTTGACTAGGAGAGCTCTGCACTGGATGGTAGCCGCCGAAAACGCTGCTTGCTGGAGGCCTGTTGCCCGGCTGACTTGAAGACCTCGGTGCTGAATCGTACATGGCGAAATGGTTACCTGGTGCAAGTCTGTTGCTCGGTTGGCCTGGAAGACCCTGTACTGGATTGGAGCTGCCGAAATTTAATGTTGGAAGTCGATTGTTCGGTTGGCTAAGAGGAGGCTGTAGTGGATTGTAGCCACCTACCGGTAGCAGTGGAGTATGTTGCACATTGGTATTCACTCTCTGCTGTAGGTATAAATGAAGTCTGGGGTCGGAGGAGTTGTAAGAAGCCAGCAAGACGTCGTTTAGCAGAACTAGTCTAGCTTCGTTCAAGCTCTGCGTGTAGGCCCTCAAAGAATTGTTGGCATTTGCAAGGGCTCGGCATTTCTCCTCCAACGCATTGGTATGTTCCTTCTTCTTAAGTCTGCATTTGCTTGCTGCCTGTCGATTTCTCTCAAGATTCCTTTCTCGCTTCGCCCTCGCCGCTTCATCCTCCTCACCTGCAGGAGGGTCCTTTCGCTTTCTACCTCCTTTCAACTTCGGAGGAGTGTCTCCTGTGAGCTCCTTCTCCGTTGCCGCACGTTCTCCTGTAAGATCAGCCTGAGCACCAGTTTCCGTATCTTGATCTCCAATCCGTTCCAACCCATTTTCGGAATCGAAATCGGAATCGGAGTCATCGCCTTCATCCTGATCTTGGTCCACAGTACCGACATCTGGATTTGAATTGTCCGAAGGGCCGTGGTGGTTATGTAAGGCTGGATTACCTCCAGCCTCATCTCCACTGGGCCCGGCCCAATGTAGGTCGTGTGGATACTTCTCGTCCATTGTCCGAAGAATATCCTCCTCAAAACTTGAGGATGACTCAAAGGATGGTGAGTGATGCGCAGAGCTGTCAGGCGACGCAGTACCCAGGCGATAGTTTGGCGTTGGCAAATTGGAGTGGGAAGAGTAGTCAAAGAATCTCACGCTATTACTCAAGGAGGATTGAACATTGTCTCCATCGTTGTCAAAAGTTTGATGGTCGAGAGAAGTAGCGCAGTCGCTGATGTAGCCACTGTCGGTGCGTGCTTTCCCCTTCTGATTAGAAAAGCTGATCGAGTTGAGGTTTCGGGAAGGAGGTGACCTCGATTGGGAGGGAATAAATCTTCCATTGTAAGTCTCATGGGCCATAACCACCACGGGACTCAGATATTAAAATGAGAAGAAGTAGAAGCAATGGTTTGATTGTGCTGAAGCAATGCTCACAGCCCGCTGGGAAGCGCCTGCTTTATACGAATGAGTCGAGTTTTTTTTTTTATTTTTTTTATTTTTTTTATTTTTTTTTTCTGTGGAGGACATCCCATGCGCTTGTTTGTGTGAAGGTTCAAGGTGAGAGCTTAAATTCAGTGTTTTAAGTTTGGGAGAGCTGGCAGAG